CTAAAAAAACGATAAGTAAAAAGATAAATAGAAATTCCTCTTTCACTGCAGTGAAAAAATTTTCCATTTCAGGAACTTTCTCCAATTTCACGTTTACATCACTTTCTTCTTGAAAATGAAATAAAATTTGTAGATAGAAATAATATTTATAACAAATCTGTACCTATGAAAAATAGCCAACTAAACTAATTAGTCAATTAATTAGTTTTGATTGTATCTGTAGATAAATTTACGCACGGTCGCAATCAAACCTACAATAGTGCTAATGATTCGATCAAATCAGTATGTTACATATTTATTAATAATTTTATTCACAGTTTATGTATGTTAATTTTTATTGTCTCTGAGGAGGGCTCACAAGTGAACTGAAACATGTAAACGCGTTTTAGTGAATAAAGAAGTTTCACACTTCATAGATATATTATTTGCGCGACGTCTTCTACGCTTGATTCCTACTGCCCGTATCCTTTCCAGTTCTTTGAATTATAAGGAGTCTTAGTTAGTTTGATTTGTAATACGGATTAATAATTTTACTTATATTGACTTATTTTTTATAAATTTAATTTATTTTGAAGTTTGAGATTACGTTGAAAAAGTGACAAAATTAATATATAGATATGTATTTTAATATTGTTAGATAAATATTGTCATAAAAATAAAAACATTTAATCAATACAAGTATAATACTTGTATACAACTAATAAGTATAATACTTGTATACTTATTTATATAATTATAAGTGAGATATAAAGAAGATACTCGAGAAAAATGTTTCATACATAATTATATATAATTACATAAAATTATATAAAATTATAATTATATATATATATATATAAAATATGTATATATAATATCCATTACATAACATTTTTTTTCGGGTAATTTCAGTGCTAATAAATAATTTAACTCTTTTAAGATTATGAAGTTATCATGACAACAAAGAATATGTAATTAAATTATTTAACACTGAAAATATGTGAATTAATTTGTTACGTTGTATTAAGCAATTAGAAAACACCCATTGTATTCTACCGTATAAGATACTTATTGGAAATTTGGAACATGGTTTAGTTTCATAGTGTAACACCAGAATGCATTGTAGTCTTCCATTCTTTTTCTTATGATTATATTTAGCGTATCAATAATAGAAATTTATGATTTTAATTAGATTTAAGTTAATAAATTTTTCAGAATTGACAGTTTTATTGCAAAATAAGTGCCTATCAGATAACTATAGAATTTCAATAATGACAGTAAATTTTAGTAGATTTTTACAGTGTTGAGCAATTATTACAACAAAGCATTTTAAGTCTATTGATTGGCTGTAAGACAGAGAAGTTATCGGATTTCTCTATCCAATAGCTAACAATAAACTTAAAAACTTTGTCATACGACAAATGATACACCAGCCTAATCTCACCAGAGAGAAACCTGAGAGCGGTCATTCTTTTTCGTTTGACTCTTGAGGCCTGTTTTTTTTGGCTGAATTTTTACCAATTCATCTTTCTTGCTTTTCTTTCCTCCTGAAGAAAAAAGGAAAAAAGATGAACTGGTGCAAAAATTCAGAGTTCAATAAAAAATAACAGGCCTTTTGAAGCTTCCGTATACTAGCGACATCAATTTTATAGAATGATGCGATCTACGTATCGCATTACCGACACTGCTGAAAAAATTGATGTGATGCAAGTTAAGGTCTCTTTCTGTCCTGCAGCCAATCAACGTGCTTAAAAAGTTTGTCGACCGACATGTAATATTTTAAAAGTAAATATTACAAAAAGTATTAAAAAAACATGTTACAGTATTTCGAAAAGCTGTCGAGATAAGTTACAAGAATATAAAAAGTGGAGGTTTTTATTTTTAAAAATTGATGTGACACACAACGCCAGAGTTAAACTGATAAGGCTACAGTAAATAGAACTTTAAAATCCTAAAATTATTGTCTGAACATATTCTGGATTGGATCTTACTCTATGAAGATAAAAAGAGTGGTCGAAGACACCCTGATATTACCATGATGTAAGAATACAAGGTGTTTCGTTGTACATGATGGTGGTAGGTTCGAATTTGGAACAGCCAATAAAAATTTAGTCTCAAATGTAGCGCGACTGCCCATCTAATGCTAAATATTCGTAGAAAGTTCAATTTGTATTCCCAATGTGTCGAATATTCCGGCACAGTGAAAGAATCGTCATAGAATATACAAATGAATCAACGAAATGTTCAGAATATTATATGAATACTCATTATATATATGTGAAAATCACTCATGAGTGAGTAGTACATCTCTCCACCGATAGAGGACCGTGGCAGAGAGCATTTACTCATTAACAAGAATTCATTTGGAAAAAATACAATAAGGAGCGCAGCATTTCGCCTGTAAAGCCCCAAAATTGGACTCTAAGATGAAATGTATTTTCAAAGCAAAATTTTGTTTAAAAACTGATTTAGGGACAATCAAACCTGCAATTTTTGAAATTTAAATTTTGCGGAACATATATACAACATTCTCTCGGAATATGTAATGATATATAAATACAATTTTAAACCAATATTTGAATATTTCTTTTAAATTCCGTAATGTTTCGGAATATTCCAGAATATTCTTGGAATGTTTTTTTAAGGGGGGAACCTCATGTAAAATGAAATTTTTTAGCCATTTTATTTTTTTGCTTAAATTGATAGGAAATTTCCTCAAAAATACGAGAAAAAAAGTTAGAAAGTGATCCGAGAGGTCCTTGTACTTTATTTTCAAAAGAAAGTAAACAGTCGAATTGGGCGAAGCATCTTGATGCGCCGCTCTCTTGATGCCACCAAAGAGGCTCGTACTTTTCGACAACAGCAAAAAACGGCTCAATTAGAACAGTTTGAAGAAGAGGAGGGTCTACTCTATGGCCCTGGAATCGCAGATTAGCAAAAAACTGCGGTAAGTTAGAACGAATTACGAATTTTTTCACGATTTTTCTATTACTCAAACTTTAAACGCGTTTTTCTCGAAACGCAAAATTTCGCACGCCGTGCAACGTAGCTCAAAAACTAATCATTCGATCTTTATGAAATTTGGTATAGAAATTCTATAGATATTTGACCTCAGCATGACGAGCTCCGATTTTTATTTTTTTTATTTAAAACATTGTTATTAACAATTGTTTATAAAAGAAAATCCTTTTTTTTTTCAAAACTTCGCCATTTTTGTAAATTTGCAAATTTTAATAAAAGGGGACCGTCATGCTGAGCGTTTTTGCATAAATTAAAGAACCCATTTTGTATTTTTTGTTTCAGATCATTTTTGTGACCTGTATGCTGCACGGCGCATTTTCAAGACGCTGTTTTCAAGCCGCCATTGCACCGTTTTATTCTTAACGATTAGTCTTAAAAAAATATTTTCTTTCAATATTATAACGTAAATAAATTGTGCCTTAAATTGCAAATTAATCTACGCATTACATTTTTCAAAAAAAATTCCTGAAAAACAGGCCATTTACATGAGGTTCCCCCCTTAAGTTTTTAGGAACTTTTTATAAATATTTCAGGAATATTTAGCGACAGCATCGTGACAACATGTAACCTAAATTTAATCTGTCACAGATTATAAGTGAAGCCATATTGATTTTTGCATTTGTGACAACTCTCTGACTGATCAACGTTACATATCTTATGAGCGAAACACTTTAGCTGCTTTTGAGACGCTATTAGCGCTATTTGTGTCATTCTATCTTCATCGTGCATTAGACGTAAGATAAGGATAGTGTAGACAAATGGCACTGATAGCGAATCTCCTCGAATGCACTCCCGTATATTCTAATTCGTCGTCTACAATACACGTAGTAAGAAGTAAGAATAAGAAATTGATCAATTACATTCGATTATTTTACTCACATTTGACTGTGATTGGTTAATTTCTTATTCTTATAGTCTCATCCAATGCTACTGCCATTGTAGACCGCTCATTACATTATGTATATAATATTTAATTTAAAGCTTCAACTTCAAGGACCTTATATGTCATATAAGAATATGTCATATAAGAGATGCGTTCGGAGAAACGCTATTAGTGCTATTTGTATCATTTTATTCTTGTTTTACGTTTGATAAACGATGAAGACAGGATGACATAAATAGCGTGTCTTCCCAAACGTACTAAAAAATGTTTATTTAACTTTGCTTTAAAAAATATCAAATAAAGTTACTTTTAATAATTACTTTTAAAGTATTTTAAAATAATAAATAATATTTGTAGAAGATAAAGATGGGCCTAAACTGTGTGCGAGCTGTCGATCCTTTATCTGCTATGATACCAAGAAACGGGCTCGATGCTACACCAGTTAAAGAATCAGGACTGCCAATTATCTTCCTGATTGGAGGTCCGGGAGCAGGAAAGTGTCCGTTGAATTTTTATTTGTGATTTTACATTAATTATATTTACGAATAGAACACACATTCAAATAATCAAATCAATAAAGTCAATATTTTTTGTATTTGCAAATTCTTTTTGCTAATGAAAATATTATTACATATTCCCGAAGAAATTTGGAATATATTATATAAAATAACAAAATATTAAATTTTTGTATATCGTTGAAATAATTGTATAATCTAAATGCATTGTACTTATTAAAAAAAATGTATATATTAGCATTTTCTGACAAGACATAAGTAAATACAATGATTTATTAGGTCTGTCTGCGTTGCTTGTACTTTTTGCATTCAGCACTTTGGTTTTTTTTTCAATATCCACATATATATTTATCTCATTTTAATTGCAAACATGTTTACAGATTTTAAACAACGCGAACAAATAAACTATATCCTTGTTGTTTGCTAATATTAAACAAGGTGAAATGATTCATTGTATTCATTATATCCTTGCTGGAAAATGCCTTGTGTGTAAAATACAAGTTAAACACAATATTGATATTACATTTGAAAATAATGACATGGAACTAGTTTTAATTTCTTTAAAATAGGAATAATTTCTTTAAAATAGGAATAATTTCGATCCTTTTTTTTTACAGCGACACAGTGTACACGAATAGCACAACATTATGGTTTTTGTGCCATTATAAGCAAACAATTGTTGCGCGCTGAAGTATCTACCGGTTCACAAAGAGGCGTTATCTTGGCGTATTTGATGTCGGAAAGTAAATTAGTTCCCTCGGATGTCATGGTAGAACTAATCATGGCGAAGATGCTGAGCAGATTACATGATACACGAGGTTTCCTACTGAGCGGGTTTCCTAGGGAGAAGACACAGTGTCAGCATTTCGATAGACAAATTCGACCGCCAGATCTTGTCCTATATTTATATGTCAGAGAATCACTACTAATAGACAGAATCCTAGCCAGGGCCATCACCGCCACTGAGAGGTCACAACGCAGTATCGATGAAAAGTGGCAATATATTAAGGAACACAGTCGAATGATCAAGCCTATCTTTAGGTATTACAAAAAAAAACTAGTGATTATCGATGGCGAAAAAGATGAGACAGAAGTTTTTGAAGACATTTGCAGAGCGATTGATAACGTCATGATGAATTTTCCAACTACGTCTCGTAAAAGCAGCTAAAATTAGAATTTATTCGTTTACATAATAATTGTGCTGAATAATAGTGCTAATTGATGCATCGATTATTATGCAAATTTAGAAATTGATTAATAGAATTTTAAATTGCGCAACGGAAATAAACTATACCTTGTTTTGTGATGGTGTACCAAAAATATTTAAAAAAACTATGCTATATATTAAAACAATTATTATATATATACATATATAGATATTATAATTAATATTCTAATAAATATTACAACAAAAATAATAAGATATTTAAAAGGAAAAAATACTGTTTTTTTAATTATTTCTTTACATAATTAGTCAATAACAAATAATATTAAAAAATTGATTCATAGATAATACAATTGAGCCATTTGAACCAATGAAAAGTATTCTTACATTAGTATGTATATTTTAATCGTAGAAAAGGAATTTCAATTCGCATCTACAAAACCGTTCCTTTTTTACGATTAAAATACACATACTAATCCCAGCAAACACACAGATATAAATGACATAAGCTGCATAATCATAGTCATAAGGTTGTTGAACTATGAGCGTCTTATGTAAATTGAGATGGTGTTTTTATGTTGGATATACATTGGTCGAACGACTTTATGCTATGGTTATGCAGTACACTTTATCCTAGAATCTTCTTGCGAATGTTCTCAAAACATTGGAACATTCTCAGTGGTATATTCAGTTCCCACCCGCGGGTATTTTCCGGGTGTCATGTTATCCTTGTTTAACTTTCAGTACATAATAAGGATAGAGTGATATCTGGGTGATACTCTGGACTAGGAATCTGAACATAACCCAGGCTGTTCGATCTTTAGAATTTTCCTTGGACATCTACTGTGCTACATGAGAAGATTCCACGTTTATTTATGGATTGAAATTTTTATTTTTTATTCCTTGTTCCCTATCTTTCATTATATGCAGCCTCTGACATACTCCTTGCACATCCTGCACTCTGTGACATCATTCCCTTCCTCCATGCCACGAGATTCTCCCGCACCTCACTCTCTTCGGAATCCCATGGATTAGAATCAATTTAGCTTACCTACCATCCGACAAATGCCAATTTCTCCGGAAATGCATGGAAATTAAGAAATTGCTAAGAAATTGTGATAATACATATGTGCAAATGCGACTTAATTTAAATAATGTTTTCCAATTTTTATTTTGTGATATACAATTAACATATTTAATGTATTATACATATGTATGTATAATACATATTAAATGTATTATACATTTGGCAACATTTCTCAATCTTATTCGTAATGTATAATCATTCTGAAATGGCTTCCTTACATGATTTATATAAGATAAGCCAAAATTGCTCCCATAATTATCCAAATAAAGGATATCCATTGAAAGAGATGTCTTCACTAGAAAAATGAAACCTGAAAGAAAATAAATTGTGAATACTATTTTATTAAAAGACTTTTAATTAATCTTAAGTCCACCTCCACCTCCTGCGTAGGAGTGTAACGACTTTTCATGCGGGTGAATAATTTTCAAAGTCAAATATGAAAAAAATGTGTTTCTTTATATTTGAAAATGATCTTGTCGATTTTCATTAACATATTTGTAATTAGCACACCAAAATACATTAGTATATCAATCAACAACAAAATCGGAGTATTCACCCTTTTGGAACTCTATTCACAATTGTAATGTACGATGTATAAATTTATATAATATTTTAAATAATACTCTATAAACTCATTATGTATGTATGTAATAAATAGTTTATAAAATATTAAATTTCTTGTTAATGTCATTTTTTTTTCTTTGATAATAAAAACTTTTTTTATCGCAGTTAAAAAATACTTATAAAATAAAAAATTTGTCTTACCGAAGAACTACCAGTTTCGTAGCTGCACTTAGCTAATTCATATGCTAATTCACATCCTTTAAATTTTTGTACTGTAAAAATAGACATGAATAGAAAATAAACAAATTATATATTACAAAATTTGTGATAATAATTATTTTTAATTTAATTTAATAGATGTTTTATTTAAAAAATTGTATATATCAATTTTGCTTACCAATTGGTAGGCAATGTTCCATTACTTTCATAGTAGGTGATACATATTCCTCCAATAACATGGTTTCTACGATATTTTTTAAAGCTTTTTCTACTATTTTGTCATCCTTCATCTAAAAAAAAGAGAAATATAAATATATTTATGTAATCACCAAGATTGTAAATGAATCTGAAAAACTTGGCAAACAATCCCTTCATTTAAAAAAAGAACAGTTAAATGCTTATAATGCGTAAGTTAGTTCTTATATTCAAGTTTTTTTATTAATATCAGTCTTGTTTGCGGAATATAAGTAAATTCGAATTGATGGTCATTTCTCACTATAGTTGTCTATATAGAAGACCACGTTGTAGCGGACAATCGGGACAACTATAAATGTCCGTGATAGTAAAAGTAAACAGCAGTTTGCATTGCAAACACAACTTGTTTCTACTTTTCCTATTTATGTAATTTAAATGATTTTAAAAATATCTATGTTTAAAAAACATTTATAGAAAATTCCTGAAATTTTACTTACAATTTTTGTATTTAGCAGTACACACTTAAAGTAACATTTAAATCTCCAATCTGATGCGAAAATTCCTTTGGTTGCGTCATCGATCATCTCTAAGCACAAATCAATATTATAATCTTAAATATATTTTTTATTTCTATTATGTTACTTTTTAATCTATATATAAAGTATATATACAATAGATTAAAAGTGATTTTGAAAAAGTAATATAATGGGAATAAAAAATATTTAAGACCTACTTACTTCTCATGAGCAGGTAGAGTGGACTGAAGTGAGTCAAAAAGTCCTTTATCATTTTGCAATTTTCGTAATGCTTTAGGAGATATTAATTTCTAAAACTCATTGAATAAGTACGTATTCGCGAGGACTTTACCGCCAAATAACTGTCCATTGCATCGGTCGCGGTGCGGACTTGTTAGGACTTTGTAGGCGTGCACTAAGCATCATAACTGAAGCAGCGCGTTTATCAAGCAGTCCCTCCTCGCACAATAAGCGACCGCGACTGATGGGTGTACGAGCTCGTATAACTTGGTAATAATCCGCGCGGATACGAGCTTATTCAATGATATTTGGAAACTAATATCTCCTAAAGTATTGTAAAAATTGCAAAATACTGAAGGACTTTTCGCCTCAGTTCAGTCCGTTTTTCTCCCGCTCACGAGAGATGATCCCGTAGGTTGGGGATATCCTATATATTATAAGAAACGTCTAGCACGCGCGTGCGACACACACACACACACACACACATATCCACACACGCGGGCGTGCGTATATTTATTATCGAAAATTACTTAAAGCCAATTTAATTTAAATAAACAAAAAAATTTTTTAATTTAAAATTCAATGAAAACAGTTTTAATTTGCATAAATAATCAAATTAATCTATCTCTTAATTAATATCAAATCTAAAGATTTAGTTAAATTTAAAAAATTTACATTTTGATTTAATG